ATTTTCTTAGTCAATGCTACTTTTTGTGCTTTTGCTCCACTAATTGATGGTATCTTCTGGCAGACATGACCAGCCTGTGTTCTCCATAGATCATGGGGCTGGCACCACAAGCATATTAATCTAAAGCAAACCCAACCAGTCTTTTTTCCTCCTAAATATGATTTTATAGCCTACATTCAGAGTGTCAAGTACAAGATCCAGAAGAGAGCATGATAACTGTCTGGTGGAGGGAAAGAAAGAATTAGGAGAGAAAATGAGGTTTAAGCAAGGTTTTAGGATTTGCTAGGCTGGGTAAGGGCAAGAGGAAACAAAAGGTGTGAAAACAGGTTGACAGGATGGAGAAGAGCAATGATGTATGTGATCTTAATGAAGACACTAATGAGAGTTCATGTGGATGCAGGGGCTAGAAAGGCATGTAGGACTAGAGATCACAAAAGGTCTAATATGTCAGCTAAAGGAACTGCATTTATTTTGCAGATAATCATGGCAAAAGCTGTCCTAACTGAGCATCCATTATGTAGCAGACCCTGTGTTATGTGCATTCTGTAATTCATTCATGTAAGCAAACAGCAAGCTTATAAAATAGGTGTTATTATTACCTTCATTGTAATGGTGAAGAAACTAAGACCAGGTGAGGGTAACACATGCATCAGAGGTAAATTAAGGCCAGAAGAGGCAAGACTTGAGAAGTAGAAATACAAGTAGGAGGTTAGTGAGCTCTTTCACTGCCAAGGTTATGAGCAAGTGTGAGGGACTGGGGAATGTTGAAGAGCATGGCCTCCAGAGCTGAAATTAAGTGGCTGGTTTAGCTGACTGTGTAGGCAGGGATGGTCTGGCAGAAAGGAGTTCAGATGTCATCCGGCAGTGGTGACTATGGGGAAATTCACCGAGCCAGGCAATGTGCATGGGGTGGGGCGAGGGGCATTAGGTGAGTGTGTTAAGGCCAATGTGAGGCATGTTGAGTTTGAGGTGCCCTGGGGACAAACTTTACCCTTTAGTTCATTCAGTATACACTCCTGCCCACCTACTATTGTGCCAGCAGCTGTGCTAAGACATTCCCTGTGCTCAGGAAAGTAAATGTTATAAACAGACAAGCAAGTAGGTATTATATGGGTGTGATGATAATGAAAATAGTAGTAAGTTCCATTAATTAAGTGCTTATCACAGTCATCTCCTAAGTGTTTTTCTTCTATTAGCCCAATTCCCTAACAGAATTTACGTATACGTATGAGTTATCAATGAACAAATGCTTATCTGGCACGTACTGCATGCTAGGCACTGTTCTAAAGCTTCACATGCTTTAACCCATTTAGCCAGCAGTAATCCTATCAGGTATTATTGGGCTCATTTTAAGGATGAGGAAATTGAAGCACAGAGAGATTAAATAATTTGACGAGGTCACACAGTCAATAAGTGACAAAGCCAAGATTTGAACCTAGGAAGTCTGGATTCACTTTACAGATTAGGACCCTGAGACTCAGGGAAGTTCACATCATTTTCCCCAACAATTAAGCACCAAGAAGAGGCTGAGGTATGCTTTGGGCAAATGCCTGTTTAACCCCATGCTCCTGCTATTAACCCATATGTGCAGTTCTTGAAACCCATTCGTGACATGATGGTGGCACACAGGAGAGCATGATGGTGCAGTAACTGAGGAGGAATGGGGAGCAACAGGGAAGGTATCATCAGAGGAGATGCTTTTATTAGCTTAGAAGAATGAGTGGAATTCCCCAGAAGGATAAAAGCATCTGGAGCTCATGTGGAAGAAAAAAGTGCTCTTCTTTCTGCTTAGTTAGAAGGAAAAGCAGCACGGTACAGTAAGGAGAGGTACAAATACGGACATGCTTATAGACAGTCATATTCATCTCTTATAACTTCAATTTTCTCCTTGCATTAGGAGGCAAGGTCAGTTCCAAGACAAGGAATCCTGAAGCCAGGAAAGGCATGAATGGTTATTGGGTAGAACAGAAGACAGAGATGATAATAGGAATATGGAAAAGGACATAAGACAGCTGGATATGCTAGTACACCCCTGTAATCCTGGGACTCTGGAGGTTAAGGAAGGAGTATCAGGAGTTTGAGGTCAGCCTGGGATATATAGTAAGTTCAAGGCCAGCCTGGTCTACATACCAAGACTCTGTCTCAAAAAAAAAAAAAAAAAAAGAAAGTAAAGGAATGAATGAATAAAATAAAAGAATATAAGCCAATTGGCCACTCATAATTTTCATGTTCATTTTGGATGTCAAAGATTCTAGGTAGATGACAGCTACCTTCCCCACCTACTTACTTCCAGGTAACATTGTCACAGTGAAAGTAAGTCTCAGACATCTATTAGTAAGAAGACACACAAAACAGTATGTTGTATGAAACACCTTGCATGGAAGATTTCCTCAAGGTAGCTGTCAAAATGCACTGGCAGCAGGAGAAGAGCTCCTTATCATCAAGTGTTAGAATTATGTTATCTATTATATGGACAAGACACAGGACTATAACAGAATCCTAAACCTAGAATAGGGATATAAATTTCTGGATTTGCCAAATTCTACTACCTTGTTTGTACAAAGGTAGAAATACTGTACAATATAGCTACCCAGTTCACATATCTTGAAGACTATTATGCTGAAAATCAAAATGGAGATGTCTATTGTGCAATTAAAGACACAGACCTCAATTTCAGTAGCAAAACTAGAGCTAGAGATAAAAAGAGGAATCGTAAGTATATGAACCCAGTAGTTAAAACCACAGAGGGAGGGAGATAATCAGTAGAATATAAAGTGGGAAAAGAAAACCAAAGGATGTACTTTAAGCAATCCCAATATTAAAGATGCAGCAGAGAACCAAAATCCAAGGTGAATGACAAAGAAGTAGAAAGAAAGAGAAAACCAGGAATATGTTATCAAAGCCAAGGTAGTGGAATTGAAGGAGAGTATGGTCCACTTGGTCAAACACTATGTTCCAAAGAGGACCAGTAGAAGAAGAAATGGTCATAGGTCAACTAGATTTGGCAAAACTGTGATGGAGAAGGGAAGATTTGAGGCCATGAACAGAGGAAGAAGGAAGAAGGAAGAAACCTTCTGTAAGAGGAGGACAATGAAGATGGATACAGATGTAGAGAAGTTTATGGTGGATTGGAAGAATTGTTTCCTAATTATTCTATCTTCCCTATAAAGTAGAAGGTAAAGGCAATTCCTTGCATAACTGGGATTGGATACTTTATCTCTTTAAGGTCACAGATGCTGAAATGAAAGAATCTGATGAAAGCTACCGGTGCAAATGAAGAGGACTTTCACAAGCTCCCAAAAATATATACACCTCCACACTGGACCCACACCCTTAGACTCTGCCTTTTTTCTCATTCCCTGCTCTAAGCAATGACCAAACCATCTTATTGTATACACAATTCCATCCCCACAACATCTTTCTAGCACTTCTCCTCACTCTCTTGCATAGTTTGCATCAATATAAAAAAAAGTGATGCTAATTTTTTTCCATTAAAATAAAAAATCAAACCTAACTTGACCCCACTTCCCTTTGAGTAACTCTCCTTCCCTTTACAGCAAAACTTCTCAAAAGAGTTGTCTATTCTTGTCTTTTTATTTCTCTCTTTCTATTCTATGTTGAGCCCACTCCAATCAGACCTCTGCTCCCACCACTCCATTCAAACTGCTCTCATTATGGCCACTAATTACCTCCACATTAGTAAAGCCAATGGTCAATTCTCAGTGCTCATCTGACCTATCAGCTTCTGTCACAATTCATCTGGCAACACTTTCTTCATGTAGCTTGTCAGACAGCCTGCGATCCTTCTACCTCATTCCTCACTCTTTCTCGGCATCTTGGCCTCCTTTGCTGCTTCTCCTCTCTACGCTTTTAAGTTGGGATGCCCCAGCATGTCTTGAGTCTTCCTCCTCTTCTATGTTAACTTGCATTTTTATAGCTAACAAACTGCTATTTATACTTCTTGGATATCCTCTTGGTTGTTAGCAGCTGCTTTATAAAGCTGTTAGCATATCCCTGTGCCTCTCACTCCCTCCCTTGTTTAATGAGCAACAGTCCACATAAAGGCCTGAGGATGGTTCTGTGCACTGCTTCTGTGGATTGCAACCCAGAAGCCCTCATGGCTTCATCTATGGTTCCAGTTCCAGGGTGCTGAGTGTGCCTTAAAGACTGACCTTTACATGAGTACAAGTGCTGCTTATCACAAGAAAATATCAGATCCTATAAGTCTTCTTCAAAGATTACAGGCATGTTTATACATTCATTATTTTCCCACTGGACATAAGAGCTAATAAAAATAACAGGAAAGGCCTCTTTCTCTATCACAATTCTCTCCTAGCACTTACAGTTAATTGTAAGGGCTTACATGTAAAAGTTGCTATATATACATATATATGTACATATATATATAAATATGTATCTTTTTTTCTTTTATTTATTATTGTTGTACTATGGATACATTGTAGCATTTACAAAAGTTCTTACACTATACCATAGTTGACTTCACCCCCTCCATCATTCTCCTTTATCTCCTCTTCCCCCATTCCTGGAATAGTTTCAAGAGGTCTCACCTTTCCATTTACATACATGCGTACATAATATTTCTACCATATTCACCCTCCTACACCATTTCCTTATATCCTCCCTCTCCCACTGGTACCAATCTCCCAGACAAGACCTGTTTTGCCTTTCTGTTCTCTGTTTGTGAAAAAAAGATGACATTTTTGTTTGTTTAAGATAGCTATACAGGGTGTTTCATTGTGACATTTCCATGTATATATGTATTATAACCGAAATTGATTCATCCCTCTATTTTTCTCCTTTAAATTAATAAGAGTTACAGTCAAGAAGGCCTTAAATTGTGAGCTAAGTATGAGATAAAATATGGTAGCTTTTATAAGGCTACTTAATCAAATTTGATTCACTTGTTTTATCATTATAATCTACCTGACAACATATGAACACCTAAATTGTTATTAAATGAACCCAGTGTTGGCACCTACCTTATATTTTGAAGTATCCCAGTTGTGTACTATGCGTGCTGGGATGAGAAAGCTATCATCCACATGGCAGCTGCTGCAGTAGTACCACCCACTGTAATTGCACACCTTGGCCTTTCCGTTGGAAAGACCGATGGATCGCTGACATCCTGTTTGAGGCAAAAGAAAGAGTGTGTGATTGCTGTTGTACTTGGAACACTATAGAACAGACTTCCAGTTTGCAACAGGAAAGAAGCTGCATGAATACATGTACGAATGTATTCCCTCTTTCCTAGCCTGACAGTCTCTACCCCGTCACCTCCTAGGGAATTACTGTGTCACCTAACTAGTCCCTGGTATCTTCTGATTCCTTCTCTTCTGCATACAGCTGCCAGAGATCAGTTGCTCTACAACCCACTTTTTTTCCCTCACTTCCTTGCTCAGAAATTCTATTTGCACTAGGCACTTTTCTGGGAGCTTTTCATATGGGCTCTTGTTTAACTTACACAGCATCTCTTAAGAAAGATATTATAAGCTCTATTTTACTAATGAAAAATCAAAGAAAAAGGTGGGTGTGGTACTCTGAAGCTGAGGCAGGAGGATCAGGTGCTCAAGTTTAGTCTGAGCTGCATGGTGAGATCCTGTCTCAAAAAAAAAAAAAGAGATGGGCACTGGTGGTTCATGCCTGTATTCCTGGCTAGCTACTCAGGAGGCAGAGATTAGGAGGCTTGAAGTTCGAATCACCCTGGAAAAATAGTTTGAGAGAACTTATCTCGAAAAAGCCCATCAGAAAAAAAGGGCTGGGGGAGTAGCTCAAGGTGTAGGCTCTGAGTTCAAACCCCAGTACCACAAAAAAACAAAACCAAACCATTTTTACAAGGTTATATATGTTGCCTGAAATCACCCAGATAATAAAAGGTACAGTTTGGACTTGGCTGTAAGTTTGTCTGATGCTAAAATGATCCTAAAATCTGATATGTAGTCTTCCTCTGCTTACAAAAATCAATATAAGGATTTTGGCCTTGGTTTGGTCCCATCTCACCCTTCCAACTTTATCTCCTACTGCTTTCCAGTAGGAATATAACCTCTTTATTCCAGTCAGAGAACTCTCCATGTCACATCCAGATAAATACTGTGCTCACTCCACCGTCCACGTCATAGTACACATTATTTCTCCTTATGTGACGCTTCTTCTCTACTCTCTATTTCAATAATTCTTGTCCATTATTCAAGACCACTGGCGGCTGGCAACCTAGAAAGTTCAGGATTCCATGAGCACCATTAAGGCACTATCAGGGGACTTAGTAGCAATAATGCCTCTTATATAGGAGGTACTTCCTTCTACTGATGAGTATGGAAATTCTGTCAAAAACATTCCAGAGGACAAAATCCTGCAGCCCCAGAACAGGTGATCAAGAATATACAAACAATATAACTATTCTGACATATCTGACTTACAGCTTTCATTTCAGAATCTTTGATGTGGTATTTTTCATGGTTGGGTGCCAGAAGTATATTGATTAAAGAAATCCAACACTATTTTATGATGTAAGTGTGAAACTGGATTACTCTTTCAATAATAGTAATAACAATAACAAGGTAATGATCAGTGTTGTACCCCATTTCCATTAAAAGGAGCTCAAACATATTTAACAAATGGCTATCCTAAAAAGATACTGATTCACACAAACTCCATGAATTAAAGTATGCAAAACCCAACAGAAATTCCACCACAAGTAAAACAGCTTGAGTAACTAAGCAGTTTCATAGTGCATCCTTCACAAAGAAAATTAGATCCTTGTGTTTTTAAATATAAAAAGTACTGATGATGATAACGATGATGATGATGATAACAGGACATGAATATATATGGGAAACTGCCTGGGGCAGATCAGCAGGAGGGGAGAGGGAAAAAGGAAAGGATATTGAGGGTTAAAGAGGATGGAAGTACACTACATATATACATATGAAGACAGCATAATGAAACCTACCAAACACTGTTTGAATGAGTGGGGAGAGAGAGAGGGGCAATGGGAATATAATGGAGGGGGTGAACTTGCTTAAGGTACATTGTATGCATGTGTGGAATTATCACAGTGAATATCTTCATACCATTAATACATAATAAATCATGAATAAAATATTTTCTAAAAAAAGACTGAAAAATAGTCAGTCAATGTCGATACTATGCTTCAAAAACTTGATCCTCCAATGGATTTATTTACTATTCCTTTGCTATTGGGTAGCAATAAAATCATTACAAGATCTTGTATTTCAGTCTGGCTGAGGAATGAGAAGGAATGTGTGAATGATAAGGAAGACCAACAAGCTTCTGTTTGACAGAGGAGACACCACTGTCACAAGTCCCAGCTGTGAATGTTGGAATGCTGTTTGCTACTCACTGACTGTGTTAGTCACTTGACATTTAGCACGTGCCTCTTTAAATTGTTGTACCTTTTTATGGGCTTTTCCAGCCAGCCACATTATAAACTTCTCAGATATATTTTTATCCTCAGCACTTAACACAGAGTTTTACATACATAGGACAACCAATAAATGTTTATGTTGAAGGGATGATAAACTGAGTATGCTGTAGAATACATATAGAGACTTTAATTTCTCTTAGCTTTTCCAAGATTGACCCTTTTGACCCGGTCACCTGCTTCTTGAGACAGCCTACTTTCATTACTATCTATGTTAAAGTATGCTGACCATTCTAAAAACTGCACCATTAAGCATGTATTCACATATGAACTATGATACAGAATTCAGTGGAACCTGACATTTCCTAGACACTGGGATATTGCTATTTCCAAAAATTAGTAGATAGTCAAATGAGTTACACTGAAATGCCACTGAATAGACTCCAATTTTTTCCTAATGATTGAGAAGGTGGCTATGATCTTGTAGAAATTAAGAATAAGTTAAACTATAATTAGTTCAAATTCTTACCACAGAAAACTGAAAAAATAAATCAGGCTATTTCAGACTATTGATTATTTGAATTTTGGGTACAATAAACATCAGTTAGCATTTGCTGGATACTTAATAGGCACCTTAAATAGGTACTACTGGACTTATTAGTCTATAACTCTGATTATTATAATTTTCGGCAACACAGATAGGCAATACACAGCTCCAGGGTTAGGGGTTCAATTATATGAGCTAACAAAATAAACATTACCACAATGTTGCATGGGTTTCTGGACTTGTGAAACACAGGAAGGACAAGGCTAGGAATCATTCAGGTTTTAGTTCAGACAAATGCAGCAGCACATAAACGCCTAGCTCTTAGTCGATGGGTGTCTTTACCACAGTACTCTACTTATCTTGCTATCCAGCTCTTGGTGATGAAATCACCTTCATGACCCAGCAGTAGCTTTGAACCTGTCTGCATGCTAGGCATGGCTCTGAACATGTGGTGTATAGACAAGCCCAAGTACAGTGTCAGGAAGCCTGGGTCCGCTCTTACCCAGGGCATACTGTGAGCCTGAGCCATCAAACTTTCTAGGCCTGCTTCCTTACCACAAAATAAAAAGGTTAGCCTAAATTGGTGGATTGCCAAATTCAGTGAGCATCAAATTTTCTTGAGAGGTTGGTGAAAAACACGATTCCTCTGGAGCTAGTTTTGATTCTATAGAGTAGGGATAGGAACCAGGTACCTCATTTTTAAGGAACATCCTCCTCCATACCCCCACCAGAGACTCTTGATGGGTAAAAGATGAGGAATGATTTCTAAGTGACCTTCAAAGTCCCTCCAAGCTCTAAAAGACTTATTCTATTTAATCGAAGCATAGACGGACTGCTGGCTGCACAGTAGAATGCTCATAATTTGTCACATAGCTTAGTGTCTAGGCTTCCAAAATTGACCATTCAGGTTCTTAGTCAAAATCTAAAAATCAGCTATGTAGAATCAACCTGAGATCATTTTACCAGTGTTTTTCCAGAGCATTCTTTTCTCCACTGGGAAGTAGCCTATTCAACTTAGGAATAATTCCAACTTTTCATCCCCAAATCCAATATATGTCTTTGAAAGAGCATAGGATGGTTGAGAAAGAAAATTAAGAGTCTAGTCAATGGCCTGATGTAGATTCGTTTTCTAAAAAACAACACTTATCTTCTATTTCAAGAAGCAAACGCTTGCTTCTTCAATCAGCTGTAACACTTCCTTTAATGTCCTACTAGCAAATCATGATCTAAAAATGTCTGACACAATTCTTCATTGAGATACATAATCTGGGATTTTACTTTATCACTGTGAGGTTTTCAACAGGGGAAAAATATTTTCTTTATAATGACTGTTAAAAACCACATTTTTGCAGGATGCCAAAGCTGGACTCTAAAAAGCAACATTATAGAGAGAAAAATAGAGCTGCAAAGTAGAGACAAAAAATAATTAACTGAAATAACTAATTAGGGCTTATTTACATATATTTTTATGTACTTTCAAACAGATTTTTTAAGAATGTTTCTAAATTAAAGGGCATTTGTAGAAGGGAACACTCTCCTTGTTAGATCAAAGCAAATACATTCTTCCCAGTCTCTTTTTGAAACTTTTCAGAGTGTATTCAATTCATAAGAACAAAAAACTATCTCACAAGAAAACCCACTGGCCTTTTTTTTTTTATTGCTTCCCACCCCACTTCAAATCTTTAATGAACACATGCTCTTAAGAGCTTAGCTCCCCTGATACACTTCTGGAAACAAATGTCACCATTTAACTGAAATCTTATTTGCTTCATGTACAGTCCATTTTCCAAATGGTCTTTCACTAAGACACCCAAAAGAATTTGTTGCTGGGGGTTAAAGCAGAAATTTTGGCATAATTTTCCACACAAGCACAAGCTTTCTTTTAACAAGTGTACTTAGTTAGCTCTGTTGGCTGCAGTATGGTGTTACTGAAGCTAAGATCCTGAGCAGGAGCCAACAATCCTCTCTCTACTTTGCAGCCACCTCCCTCAGAACAGCAGTAGGGAGCCCATGAGTATCAGAGGACTAAGGTTGGGTCCAAATGAATCTCTCTCACCAAGGACAGCACACACACGCTGCTTTCTAAATACTGCCAGTTACTCTACCCTTTTTACATCTTCTAAAGCAAACTTTCACATAATTTTGGAAGGTAAAGCCATGTTTTCTATTTGGAAAGCAGAAATGCTCTAAGAAAAGAACA